CTAGTTAGTGAACCCAACCAAACTAAACAAACTAGTTAGGATTAAACTTAGCTTGTATGAGACCTTTTTTCATTTATACATTGTCAACCAAATGTTTTTTTTGGCGGGAACCCTTTTTTATTGGTATTACTATCACCCCCTTCATAAAAATTCTCCCTCCACAAAAAACTCACTCCTCCACCGAATGTGTCTCCATCTACTGAAACTCTCTCCTCCACAGAAACTCTCTCCCCCCATTTAATGGATTTACTAACCAAGTTTGATGTGAGCGTAATAAACACCCCTCCAAACAAAGACCGCCTTCGAAACGCAAGTGAGTCACCAGACAAGCAATGTCACTTTCCTAGACAGAATGACCATTTTGTTGGAAGTTTTGAGTCTGAAAGAGTTCTTGCTTTCTGGAAGGAGAGGCATCTTCAACTTGGTGATGAAATCCAAAGGGCAAGGGTACGTTTGGAATTTGTTGAAGGCCAAATTGAAGATGACAAAAGGCAGGCCAATCTGGATAGGGCGAAGTTGCAGCGCATGAAGCGTAGACACAAACGACTTCGGAGTGTAGCTGTTCAAAAATACAAGAACTCATCTAATGCAAAGGAGTCAAAGAAGCGTGTGATGCAAGCTGGATTCGACTACTTCCGGTCCTATGCAAAACTCGTCGTACCCGGGTTTGATTGGTCATCTATTACCGTTTCCGACGTTAACAAATATACTCAGCAAGGGAAGTGACCATTTTGGTTATCGTGTTTGAGTAGAGGCAAATCAGAGGAACTGGAATTTTCGTTAAGCTCTGCTTCAAACCTATTTTGATGCTTACTACTATAGAAGATTTCAACCTTCATATTTTCATGTCTTTAATTACGATAACACGATGCAAAGTGCCCATCTACTTCAGTCATATGTTGCTGCCATGTCCATTTTTTTGTGATCACGTATCAGATTTGGACATGGTTGCATCATATGCAATGTTGCCTTTATGTATTATATGTTAGGGTAAGGTTTATGGAAAAGCATGTGTGACTGGTTTTGTGACAAGGTTATGGCATTATTTGTACCAGTTATATATTGTTTTTTGTACTGGTTCATCTCCTACTATTGCTTTATTTCTTTATATTATATGTTTATGCGATTGGACATGATAGAAAATATATTACTGATTCCCAATGCGGCGTCATAAGGACAACTTATTGAATACCGCCGACGTGTTGAAAACTCTAGGTGCAGGTGCATATGGACAACTTATTGACTATATCTGACGTCTTCAAAGCTCTAGGCGCATGCGCAGTTCCAATTATGGCTTCCAAGTAGTGGTGCATTTATTATATATGTACATTATTATAACCAAAACAGATAATTTTACATCCTTATATATGAAAGGAAACTAATTCTTGTATTAGTACAAATTATATAACGAATATTAAGGAAATATACTTGTAAAGTGAACAACATATACTTAGGGTTAAGAGGAAAGTGAGTTATGTAAATCATTTTTGAATTTTTAATTGCGAAATGGATGATCTATGGGTTCCCCTCGTTTTATAACGTCACACGGAGGCCGGAGTATTTTTCGGGGCATTTTTAGGATTTTTCTACTATTTATTGCATTTTTTCAAAGATTTTTGCACTAAAAAAGCCAAATTAATTGCCAAATGGACACCTGGCGCGATCTCAGCCCCTCACCTTTCACCCCTTGACAGGTGTGCGTCAGTCAACATGGCCACATCCTTACCTTTTACCCTAAATTATTATTTTATGACTTTTTCTTAGAAAATTCATAACTAAATACACAAAAATCAGAAAAATGATCCGAAAATTGGTACGACCTCATTGACACTCCATCTCCCTTGCTGAATTCCCCGATTAGTGTTACGCATTTTAAAAAACAATTCCGAACATTAACGGGAGATGCTTGTTGAAGTAGGTTATTGAAGTTAAAGTGAACAACATATATACTTAGGGTTAAGAGGAAAGTGAGTTATGTAAATCATTTTTGAATTTTTAATTGCGAAATGGATGATCTATGGGTTCCCCTCGTTTTATAACGTCACACGGAGGCCGGAGTATTTTTCGGGGCATTTTTAGGATTTTTCTACTATTTATTGCATTTTTTCAAAGATTTTTGCACTAAAAAAGCCAAAATAATTGCCAAATGGACACCTGGCGCGATCTCAGCCCCTCACCTTTCACCCCTTGACAAGTGTGCGTCAGTCAACATGGCCACATCCTTACCTTTTACCCTAAATTATTATTTTATGACTTTTTCTTAGAAAATTCATAACTAAATACACAAAAATCAGAAAAATGATCCGAAAATTGGTACGACCTCATTGACACTCCATCTCCCTTGCTGAATTCCCCGATTAGTGGTTACGCATTTTAAAAAACAATTCCGAACATTAACGGGAGATGCTTGTTGAAGTAGGTTATTGAAGTTAAAGTGAACAACATATATACTTAGGGTTAAGAGGAAAGTGAGTTATGTAAATCATTTTGAATTTTTAATTGCGAAATGGATGATCTATGGGTTCCCCTCGTTTTATAACGTCACACGGAGGCCGGAGTATTTTTCGGGGCATTTTAGGATTTTTCTACTATTTATTGCATTTTTTCAAAGATTTTTGCACTAAAAAAGCCAAAATAATTGCCAAATGGACACCTGGCGTGATCTCAGCCCCTCACCTTTCACCCCTTGACAGGTGTGCGTCAGTCAACATGGCCACATCCTTACCTTTTACCCTAAATTATTATTTTATGACTTTTTCTTAGAAAATTCATAACTAAATACACAAAAATCACAATAATGTTCCGAAAATTGCTACGACCTCATTGACACTTCATCTTCCTCCTCAATTCCCTGTTTCATGGTTACGCTACATTAGTATTTTATTATTATTTATCCAAAATTATTTTTATTATTATTGTTATATTACTTGTTAGCTTGTACATTTGTTAATTATATTTACTCCAAATTTTAATTTTAATTTTATTTTCCGTGTGAATAGACCATTTCTGGTGCTAATCAGTTTCTCTCTTCTTCAATTTGTTAATGTTTTTTCTTTTTTAGGTGTAAGGGATGTTTTCAAACATAAAATGGAAATATACAAGCCATCCATTCTACAACATCAGGAAATAATTATTCAAAGTCTTTAACTGTTCAAGTTTTGCTTAAGAAACGTGTAACCCAATCATTTGGGATATGCTAAGTGGGAAATGTCATTCCCAAGAACCGGTGAAAAGACACATACTCACTTCATGCATGCGTTTTCGTTTACCAAATATTAAGATTGCAGTTGTGCAAAATATCTGTGTCAGTAAAATGTCATTCTTAGCCGTCAATTATGTCAGTAATAATTCCACTATATAGCAAATATTATACATTTATATATAAAACGGGCTAGGACAGCACAAACACCAGACAAAATAGATTAAAACATGAAATAGAAAACAACATGTGTAGAACATAGACACGCATAAAAACCGTAGAAACATACTCCAACTAATTATAAGGGTATGGATTCCCTGGCACAACATAGACACGCATCACCTTGAACCAAAAAACACTCTCACGGTGCCATTTGCATCGATTGCAACAAGTCCAGAAGGCAGGATTGATCTTTTCTTCACTAGGCCAGCCTGGAATAACAAAACACCAGTCGTTGTTGTTACAAGCGCTGCACTGATTGAACTTAATCTTCCCATAGTGAAACATATCTACGATATGTCTTCCAACAGAGAAAATTCCGCTTAATCGTCGTCTCAAAGCATCCCTGGTTCCTTTCATATCAATGTTGTTACGTTGATTCAAAGAACACAAGAATTCTAATGCATCCTCTTTTGACTGACCAATTCCGGACATGCCAAGTAGTCCAACTAGATATGACGCTTCCATATGGCCTGCCGTGGCTGCAACGCGCATCCCAGACAATGCTTCCACATTACCCTGCCTGAAAAACATGTCGAACGCTTCTCTAAATATCGCCTCAGGGTTCTGGCAAGCCCTGCATTGGTCCACGAAATGCCGGACCTGCGCTGCGGCATAGTACCAGTTAGGATGGTCTTGGTACTTTTCCATTGAAATTGTGTTCCACACTTGTGGAGTGTTTGCCAACGTATTGAACAATCGGCACACACATGCCATACGAAAGAGATCTTCCGAGGAGTTGGTTGCCACGTATAACATCACTTTAAACCAAGCTAATTCCGGGATGAAGGCTTGAGGCACATCCGGATCGAGATGCTTCCTTCTCTTTCCTCCGACTGTAGTGTAATGTTTGGAATTCATTGAAATATTTTTGGAATGGAACGATTTGAGGACTGCAAGAGGGGAGAAATGAGAATATACGGGGTTTTGGGTTTGTTTTAGCCTCTGGTTGCACTGTTCTGAAAAGGTGTTTCCTTGGGGTTTTACCAAGTTGACACTGTTTGAAGAAACTGAACTCAACACCCAAAACATAAGACAGGCGAAGGGAAAACGTCATCAAAATGCAAAGGGAGTCAGACCGTCCAAAAGTCAATTAATAACCTATTTCCATAGCCATTGTTAGGCTTTTCCCGCCATTAAATTCATTGATACAAATGTGATGGATTACTGACTAGTGACAGAAGGTCCCATCAGATACTTTTTCATTTTCCCACACCACACTACCCCTATTAAATGACGGATTCTTATCCAACTAGTTGCCTTAATGCAATATAAAGAAAATAATATATTTAAAGCAGTGTCCCCTCAATTGTAAGATTAATTATTGTTTGTGAAATAGTATATCGCTTATCGGAGTAAAATGTGTCACAATTCTGACGGTACAGGTGTCCAGATCGTGACCAACCCACCCACACACAGAAAAGAAGGATATAATTCGATTTGGGCAGAGATGAGAGAGAGCTGAGTGAGAAGTTTAGGGTTATGACTTATGAGTGAAGGGGTATAACTCAGAAGGTATGAGTCCGAAGAGGTTTTAGTGAGAAGATCTGAGTGAGAAGAGGTACAAGTGATAAGATTCAACATGTCTTCGTCTTCATCTCCCGCTCAAACAAAGAGGTGTCAGTATTGTGGAGCTGCAATGGTGCTTCGGGTTTCAAAATCAGATAAAAATCGCGGGGAAGGCATTTTGGAAGTGTCTAACCTCCTATGTAAGTTCTCATTTCCAGAATATGTATGTGGGTGAAAAAAAATCCTAGGTCTAACTCTGACAGAATTATTTTGCATATATGATGCCTGCAATTAGGGAGCCACCAGTTGCAATGGATTCGAATGGGTTGATGTAACCTCCGCTGAAGCAGATCAGCAAGCTGACACGTATGATGCTACAGTGCTTAATATGCTGAAGTCCATTAAGGACTTGGTATTAGTTTTATTAGTTGTATCAATTGTCATATTATTTGTTCTTTTAATGACCAATTAAGTGCACGGTTTCAAGGATTGTAAAAGTTCTCCCCAAAAACACATGTTGCACGCACCACCAATGACTTTTCAAACCCAATTTGTAATTTTTGTTATTGAAATAGGTGGATTAGCATTGAGTTTAAATTATTGTTTGAAACAAAAGCATTTACTTGTCAGAAACCCAGTAAAAACTTTCCTACAGTTACTTTACAAAAATAAAGTCAGACGAAGACGATAAAATGACAATACAGGGCCAATACGATGCAATAATAAGACAATACCTTTTTTTAAGATTGCATAATTATTCAGTGTATATAGATTGTTTATTGATTGTTTACTGCATGTAAATCGCATGATATTGACTGTTTATTGAAGGTTCATTAACTGCATGTATTTCGCATGTTATTACTCCGATATTGAGTGTTTATTGAAGGTTTATTGATTGTTTACATGTTTCGTGAAGGTTTCATGATTGTTAACTGCATGTATTTCACATGTTATTGAACCGATATTGAAGGTTTATTGAAAGTTGATTGAGTGTTTACTGCATGTATATCGCATGTTATTGCTCCAATATTGCAAGTTTATTGGGGGCAAAAGTAGGACTCCAGTTAGATTTAAGGGGGGAAACGGTCCTTATTCTTTGTTTTCGTAGGAAGAACAACTTAAGTAGAATTTCCTATTCAATACGACTTCCTTATGGTTGATGTAATTGGGGACTGATGTATATTGCATGTCTATTGCGTGTATATTTCATATCTATTGCGTGTATATTGCTTGTCTGTTGCCTGTGTATTGTTATTTATTTCCGTCGTAAGCAATACAAATCAATACAGACGCAATAAATGTAAAGATATGCACGCAATAGACAAGCAATATAGACCCAACAGACATGCAATATAGACCCAACAGACATGCAATATAGACGCACCAATATACATTACTGTTATGTTACTCAGCTGCCCAAAACCAATAAATAAAGAAAATCAACCAATTTATTAACCGATTATAAAGGAGAGAGGGATTCAAACCCGAGGGGCAGTGCGGAACCAATAGGGAGTTTTTAGAGCATTGCACCTGGGGACATTTTTCATGTGTTTCTATAAGGAGGGCATGGTTGAATAAAATATTGGAGGCGAGGCCATAGCAGCCTATTCCCCTTACAGAATTACCTTAAGATGCAACCCATTGCGATTAAGTCAAGGCATGTTGAACGGCTTAAAGATTGGGATCTGATATTTGGAATGGTGGCTTGGATAAATGATGACATATCACTTTGCAATGATGTAATACACTTAAAAAGCCATCAGTCCGTATGTGAATATGCATTCTTCAAATCCAATTCACATATGCAGTCTTCAAATCCCAATTCAATGCAGTTTGGTTGAGGTTAGGTAAATGTCGTGAAGGAGTTAGGCCAATATTACACCGATGTTTGTTTCATTACATCAAAAAAAACTTTACACTCCATATGCACATTCTATGTATGGGAATGGCATGTGTCTAACTTCAAAAACGCATCTGCCTATCCATTTAGATTGCCCACGTGCAATAGATTTACAGATCCAGTTACTTTTCTCCTCTCCAACCCTCAGCATCTCCATTTCAGAGTCTTCATTTTTCTATGCTCTGCAACCAGCTCCATATACATTTTGCACAATATGAGAATACACATAGCGTAATATCACACTAATCAAAATGAAAGCATGCATCCGCTATAATATTTGCCACTATTTTGGTTCTAATTGTTATTGTCCAGTAACTTAAATCTAAATTTCTGTACACAAATACACTAAGATTGAGAAAGACGAAGAAGAATTCAGGAGCAGAGGTGGAATTCGAAAAGGACCCATGGGTCTCTATTGTGTATTTACATGACTTTGAAATTTGACATTCCCAAAACCTATTTCATCATCATGTGCCTAAACCAAGTTCAACCGATATCATGGCATGTAAGCATCTCCCCGTGCAATTTCTGCAGCCAACTTCAACCGAAAAAATGGCATGTTCTGCGAGGTGCAAGTAGCTAAGGAAATCTCAGCACTCAACAGCTCAATGTACTTCAACACGAACATACCACAATCGCCTCTGAAGCAAAACAAGAACTCGATCAATTCAACTAATGACATTCTAACATAATTGACAAATTAAAGTAATAAAATTAAATAAAAAGTTGTGCTCACTGATTAGCCTGTTGTGGAACATCCACACGATGTATTGGCCATGGACACCACCAATCTCGGGTGCACTCGTTCGCGTAAACACCTTCTTCATAAAAGTCGAGGGTGTGCAGAAGATTTGGAATCGTAATTGACAGGGGGCCGAGTTCTTCCTTTAAGCTCTGATCTGGAATGAGTGAAACCATTGAATCGTAGACTTTGATTTCACACTGAATCAGATCAATCTCTAGAGCCACCCAATGCTTATATTTTTGCAACATACAAGGTACATACACCTTATACGTGTTCTGCCAATCCAATCCACAAGCCGGAACCTTGCCATTTACAACGTTCACTAAACTGGTTCTAATTTTCCACCCAACTTGCTCTTTTTTCCTTTTATTATCCGCAAAGCAAGTATGGATGTGATTCTGTGAAATAGAAAACAATCAATGGTTAAACAACTCCACAAAGCAAGTATGGATAATTTGTAATTATTAACTGCACTTGGTCAAGGCCTATGCCATACTGATGTAGCACAGCCCTGGGTGTGTTAGTTTAAACACTTAGAGCAATAAGACATAACAGATAAGAAAAGCTGAAGGGAAGAAAAGGTAGAAGGCAGGCAGAAATCAGAGAGTTTTAAAGGAATGTTTAATCAATATTCAAATCTGAATTGTAAAGAACTACACAGGGGTATTTATAGCAAACTAAAACCTAGAGAGAATAGAATTAAAATCCCCAGGTAAAACAGAAATCCTATTCCTAATAAAATAGGAAACTTAGAAATCCTAATAGGATTTGGAAAACTAACTTAGAAATCCTACTAGGATTTGGAAAACTAAAGAATATAGGAAACTAACCAATCAATTAGGAAACTAAACAATTTAGGTCCTATGCATCCTGCATCACATACCATAAAAAATACATCGGTCGTTGTCCAATCCGATATTTCTACTTCCTCCAACTGTTGTTGTCGCTTCCGGATGAGATACAAGCCCAAATCAATGTGCTGCACATGTTTTCCTTGTCAATCTCATTATCTATGCACATTCAAACAAATGCATAATCAATTAAACTTACATCTCCTTTCAGCCAGCCGTCAGCTTTGACGAGGGAAGCGAAGAATTCAATCTCAGCTTCCACGTTGCCAAATTGCATCACCAAACTATGAATATAAAAAAGTTTTAGAACACAACAATTACAAAATATATACACTCATGCCTTCTATCTCAAAAAACAAAGGACTTACTTTGGGTTATGGCGCCATTCCGAACAAAGTTTCAGCAATTTCACCATATCATCATGCGGAATCGCCTTCATTGGGTCTAACGTCCGAAGTCCGGTTGTCTTTGGCAAATTTTTTTAACCACTTCACTAGCTTCAACGATCTTCCACATAGGAATAATCCTCTTCCTCTTCCGTAATTGGACCCCTCGTTCCACACCTTGACCTTCATCATTCAACCAAACGTTCAACTGAGATAACACAGCTCTAGGTTGATCCAAATCAATGTCCCCGACAGTAACCTCAACCTTTGTCCCCTCCGTGCTCTCGCCAATGTCATCGCCAACCAACATAACTTCATCATCCTCTTCCTCACATTGGTTTCTTTGCACTTCCTTTTCCTCACTTCTCTGTCTTTTCACTTCCTTGCCCTTCTTTTTTTTTTTCGGATCCTCTCCCTCACTGCTTTTTCTTTGCAGTTCTTCCTCTCCCTCAATGCTCTTTCTTTGCGCTTCCTCTCCTTTGCTGCTTTTTATTTTCACTTGCTCTCCCTCACTTCTTTTCCTTTGAGCTTCCTCTACCTCCCTTGGTTTTCTTTGCACTTGGCCTCCTTCAATCCCCTTCTCTTCCTTTTCCTCTCCCTCATTTCTCTTACTTGGCACTTCACCCCCTTCAATCCCCTCCTCTTCCTTTTCCTCTCCCTCATTTGTCTTACTTGCCCCTTCACCCCTTTCAATCCCCTCCTCTTCCTTGTCCTCTCCCTCATTTCTGTTATTTGGCCCTTCACCCCCTTCAATGTCCTCCTCTTCATTTGCCTCTCCTTCATTTCTATTACTTGGCCCTTCATCCCATTGCATGCCATCCACTTCCTCATATCCCTTAAATAGATGTGACACGACACAACGATTCGTCCTCTCTTTCAGTAAAGCTATGTCCCTTCTCACTTCCTGCTCAAAATGAGGACCTAAACAGTGGCCCAAATTTTTTTCCATCCGTATGACCTTTAACTCAAGGACGTCCTTTTCCCGCTTTACTTGAAACAACTCGGACCTCAACAAGCTTACCGCCTTGTTCAACTCATCAAGGTCAGCACATGAAGAAGGAATTGACTCTGCCGAGACAACAGCAGGGCGACCCTGTGGCCAACTCCAATATGGTTGTCTCATTTCCTCTTCACTTGGACATAGCGCCCGCAACTGAACTGACTGTTTCAGAAAACAGACAAGAGTCATATGCAATCATTCTACTTCATAATTTCATTGAATCTTATAAATAGTTCCAAGGGCTGCAAACCAAACCTCTTTGCTCTGGAAAAAATAATTGTTCAACTTTCTCATCTCGGGAACAGACGTAGTAGTTCTCCATCGCAAAATACGCGGGAGAGCTGTCGGATCAACAACCTTGCAGTAATTCAGGTCCACCATTCTAGGAATTAATTCATATACCCAAATCTACACAATTCACAGGACACAAGTTATTATTTAAGTTTTAAAGTCAACAAAACATAACGACATGAACATTATTACCATGTACCTGGAAAGCATACGTGAAACCTTTAAAACTCCAGCCACCCCTTTGCACTTCACCATGGTTATCCTTCTTGCCCTTCTCATTTCTCCGGCTTGTTCCGGTTACCTTACATTTCCCCTTCCCTCTTCCCTCTTCATTTTCAAAGCTTTTCACATACTTTGTTGGTGCAGAAAACAGACTGTCTTGGGTTTTGTCAAACGACACCGAACCCCATGGAAACCTGTTGAACGCATCCAAGTCCTCTACAAGGGTCAGGTAATTTAGATTGATGTTCAAATGTTTGTCCCTTCCCAAAACCACTAACTCAGCAAAGTAAACAAGAGCTAGCTTGTAGACGTCATCTTCCTCTGTGCACCTCACAAATGCTTCTTCTAAAGCATTACATGTAATTCCTTCGTCTATAAAATATCTTTTCTGAAGTCTAATTTCATCACTTTCTCCACTGGAAACTTCAGGCACTTCCCCAAAACGAAGCCCTGAGATCAAACAGAAATCCTGACGAGTGAACTGAGCAACGTCGCACCCTATTAAGAAACTCAGTCCATCCAAGTCTTTCACACCCTGCCCCGCTACTCTACGCAACACAACCCCATGCACAATCTGCCCGCTAAACTGAATCTTATCTATATTCAGAAGATGGCCAAAGCATGATGTCTTGAATTGTTCTAATTGTTCGGCACTCAACTTCGCTCGAATTACAGCTATGGATGAATTTGCATGTGAGCAGTTGTTCACCCGTGAGGAATATGCCTCTGACTCTGGCCATACCAGCTCAACGTTGGATCCCATTTCCTGAAATACAAGATGAAATAACGTGAACACATATACTACCACGTATTTGCACAATCACATTGGTATTTACACAACTAGTCAACCAGCACATTACAAATTTTACAAAGTACATGCGCATAGGGATTACTGATCACAGGCTTTAACATCATCAAAGCAATATGACATATTTTGTGCAAATACCTGTTAATGCAATGATTCTGTGAATTACAAGCACTAGCATGTGTTTTATTTATGGATCCAAACTCCAATCAATGGTTGATGCATGAGTGAGTGTGAGTGCAATCTAGGCAAGTTCTGCACTTCACACACATGACAATTATTGTCATTTCATACACAACACAAAATAAATAAATAAATAAATGAGAAAGATGGTGGAAGGAAGCAAAGCAAAGCATCTGCTCTGCTATCTGCTCGCTAAGCCATTGCCACATCCTTCTTTCTTTCTAGCTTTTTCTTCAGTCAGCCATAATCGTCATAGATCAACCTTTTTCAAATGCTTTGCACTTTTATTCATGAGTTTATTATTATCTGTTCTCATTTTTAACAGGCAAATTTAGTAACAACGGAAATAATATTTATTTCAAAAATTATATATATTCTAGCTCCAGAGAGATAATCTGCACTCTGCACTGCTTCAAATGTGGAAGGTTTTGAGGGCCTCCTCCAATTCAACACCATTACCTTATTCATATCATTATTGACATGTTATTGACATGTTATTGACTTTATATTCATTCGTTTTTTAACATATACCCAAGCAAAAATTAACATGCAAGTGAAGCACAAAGAAGAGATGCCAAATCTAACAACATTCATGCTACAAATTGGGGAAAACGGTTACTCTAACCCTAAACTCAAATTCCATAAATTACTCACCAAATGCTGGTTATTGAACAATCGCAAGGTGTCTGTGTTGGGTCTTTGTGCGGCTTTGCTCCACAAATGGAACCTATCACTTCCAACGAATACGGCTTCTCTCCTTCCCCTTCCACTGCTTCGTCTTCACTGTTTCAGAATCCACGCCTTTGCTCCTTCCACTCAAAATAAATACTTTTTCACGGTTTAGATAGTGGAGTTGCGTTCAACCGTCGTTAACCTTTGCCTTCAACCGTCGTTGCCCGTTGCCTTCAACCGTCGTTGCCCGTTGCCTTCAACCGTTTCTCAGAGCTTAGCGGTTTCTCTCAGCTATGAGTTTGAGATCAATGGGTTTTTTCTGTTCAAACTTCGAACTTGCCTCTCTTTTTTTTTTTGTTGGGACCAACTTCATTGCTGGATATTAAATTCGGGTTTGGGTTCCTCACCTACCCGATTGCACAACTTTATCCCAATTCTCCCCAGCCCTTCGATTGATCCAATGACTATAAAGTGAACCCCTTATAACTTACCCCTTATAACTTACCCCTCATTATAGTCTGGCCGATGGCATAGGACCCCAAAAAATGGGGCCTCCTATAAGACCTTTCAGCCCAAGGATTATAGTAACAAAAACGACATTTTATTTGTGTAATTCACGCTTTTTGGGATTTATTATGAAATGTTTTTGGCATTTTTCTTTATTTTTCATATAGAGAATCTCTTTTATGTAAATTAACCAACTTAGCACCTAAACTGAGAATTTTTTATTTTTTATTGGTTCAGAATGAGGTAAGTGTTGAACATAAAAGGCCTCAACTTTTATTTCTACCTAGAACCTCCAAAATCAATGAACCAACCCTATTGGCATGTCCATTAGAGGTGCCTTTTTGTGTGTTCAAGTGACATCATTTTCACCTAACTAGTATTTGTGTGTGTGTCTTTTTTGTTTTTTGTTTTTTTTATAATGTATGGAAAAAAGGGAACTAATATGTAATGCAGTGTGCGTTGTCTTTTTGCGTCTTGGTACAGGTGTTAATTTTGTTGACGTGAGTTAACTTACTAAATCAAGTTGATTTATTTCCTAAGTTAATTAGGTGATTTACTTCTTTGTTTTATATAGTTGACACATTTTTTTATAATTAGGGGATATTCTCCTAATTAATTACTGTATATTTTTCCTTGTAAAGCAGCCTTGTAAACTCCTACATATATCTCCTCAATGAGAAGAATACAATTAACTTAAAGTATTCAAACCAAATCTCATATCTTAGCATGGTATCAGAGCAATCAATCCTAAGTTGTCTCTAAACCCTCAAATCATACCCTCAAATTCAAACTCAAACCCTAAATCAAATTCCTTATCTCTCAAATCAAATCCTCTTGTCCAACTCCTTAAACACATACCTCTCAAATTAAATTCCTAAATCAAGTTCCTAAATCAAATTTGTATCAAATTTCTCAAATCAAATTCATCAAATTCTAAAATCAACTCCTTAACCACAAACACACACTCATAACAAATCTTACTTCTGTTGCGATGTTAGGACCCTCTACGATTCTCTTCCTCCTTGTAAACTCACAGAAGCATGAGGTCAATCCTGCTGAAATGGCTACCCGGGCTCATGCTTCTATTGCCACCACCAAAGGTTCTGCCTTTCATATGTCATCTCCAAAGCTCGAATGGATTATTGACTCGGTTGCTACAGATCACACGGCATTTGATCCTAGCCAACTTATTTGTTGCAAACCATCCACTCAGTCGGTAGTGTCTAATACTAATAGTACCCCCTCCCCTGTGGCTGGGGAGGGTTCTCTATATATCTCTAACTCCATACATCTGGATTCTATATTGATTGTTCCATCATTGGAACATAACTTATTGTCTGTTACACAATTTACTACTACTTTGGAGGTGTACTATAACATTTTGGCTGAATTATTGTGTTTTTCAAGACATCTTCAAGGGGAAGACGATTGATTGCATTGCCGTTGGCAATGCCGACGTGTGAGCTATGGAGTTTCGTCCCCCGGTTGGACAGCTCATCCCTAGCCGCAGGACAGCACCTAGAATTCTGCTGGCTAGCCAAACAATCCCCCAGTTGGATTGTTTCCCCAGTACATTAGTAAGGAGAGCAGTATATGTTATATCTATATTTATATATGTATATATATGTATGTAGTAGGTTGGTAAGAGCTGCATAGTTTTGGGATTAGAGTTGTGGTTTGAGAGTTTGGGGTTTAATGGATTTTTGAGATTAATGTTTTTGAGCTTTGGTTTATAAATTGTGAACCTGCATGACTTGAGCATTATTTTTACACGGTGGGGTTATTATGTTGTTTTAAATGCAAACTTTGTTTTTGTCCACTCACATATTTTCTGTTTTGCACCCCCCAAACAGTAGTCGCTTTTGGAAGCTTTCAAGCGGTGTTCGAGGCTGAACCGTTTACTTCCCTAGTTAGGATCTGTGTAATTTCCTTCTACTCAACTATTGTTGTAAAATAATTCTGTTAGATGCTCTGTTATTGCCCATGTTAGGTTTTACATTGACCTATAGGCCATTTAGTATGTTAAGTGAAATGTTGAAAGCATGTTGGCAGTTGGGATTCATATTCTGTAAATTATGCATGTTGAATTTTGTTGGGTTTGTGCATAATTACAGGGAAGACTCTGCCAAATTTTTGGTAGAAAGTCTTGGTTTTTAGTAAGTGGGCCTGGCATCGGGGTGATGTCGGCTAAAACACGGGATTCGTCCCAGATTTAGGGGAATTTCGGGGCGGGTCCTGTCAATGTCTTAGGTGATGTGAGAATTGAGTGTGAGCCATTTACTATAAGGATGCCAAATGTTGACACATTTGATGAATTGGCGGGTGAGTTTGGAAATCAAAATATTCGAGATGGGTGTGAAGATATATGGATTAAATGATGCTTGTAATTTATGAAATTACTTATGCCCTAAACGGCCGTGTATGAATTTTAATTTTGTAATAAATTGTAATGTGTTTTTTTCACTTTCATTATGCAAGTTTTGGGCACAAAATTATCAGTACTAAAAAAATTGGGTTCAAGATTCAAAAAACGACGGTCCTTATAAAAAATGTCAATAACAAACATCTAAAATATTTCAAACGTCGTTTTTTAACATACGTTGTGTAAACCAAAAACTTTGGATACAAAACATGTCTGTTTTAATAAAATTGACATTAAAAAATTACGTTTTGGAAGCATTCAACGACCGCAATGTACTTACCGATGTCTAAAGCATAACTCACAAGACTTCTCATTTAATTCAAAGCAACGTAAAAAAAGAAGAACAACGATGGTATTAAGCAACAGTTGTTAATTATGTCACGTAGGAGATGCCTAAAGAGCCGACATTTAAAGCCACATAACATGACTCCAAAGAATACCAACATAAAAAATGACTACGACCATCAACATATATTCTATGTCTTCTTTTACTACAACAAAAGGCTTTTGCATTTAAATATCTAATGTGAAAGTTCTTGTGAATGTCATAAAGATTACAACAAACGACGTCTTAGATGACAAACTCGACGGTAGAATAACAAAAAGCATCGAGTTAACATTGTACCACGCCTTTTTTTAATCTCATAAATAAAGTGGAAAAGCAACAAATAAACAATACTATCGTAATAGATATTTATAACGTCGTCCTTGGTAAAGTAGTCGACGTGAAAACTTGTTTGAATGTCGTACTTTAAATGGACGACGTTATATATAGGTCAACTGCATCGTTTCTTTTTAACCAATGTCGTTCCTAGTGTACACGGCGATTGACCAACAAACTTAAACGTCTAAGGTTATTGAAACAACGGTCTTTTTGTTCCCAATGACGTATAAATTATAAAACATGGCTGCCTTTTCATTTTACCGACGTTGTACCGGAATGGCAACGTCGTGTGTAGAAACAAAAGCGTCGTACAAAATGATTATAACCTCATTCTTCACATATTTACTGCCGTTAGTAAGATTTACCATGTCAACGTTTATAGAAATGACAAAGTAGAAAGCGGATTTTAACGACGGTGCTATAAATAAGGGTGACGTAGTAGAACCTAATAACATCGTCTTTGGTTTAGTTAATGACGTCAGAAGTTATATTTCACGTCTCTAATTTGCTCATGTGTCATGGAATATAAATAAAAAACGAAAAGCCTAATTTTTTTGGGAAATTGACTTACATAATCACTAAAGATAAACCTTAATAAGAAGGGAGTTTCACTAAAACACCCAAAATGGAGGTTGAAATTATAAAAAAACCCAACACCCAAAACACTTTATAAACACACCCAAAACCCATCATTACACACACTCAAAACCCATTTATAAACACACCCAAAAAGTTGACTTTGGGGTTGATTTTGGGTGTGTTTCTATGTTTAAATAGTGCTTGGGTTTTTTTTTATAAATACATGTCTAGGATTGGGTTTATTTATAAATTTGTATAATAAGAAATACTCACTTTACAAAACTTAACCACAAATATTCACTTTCCAACTTGAAAATACCAAGTTACCCTCCCTATAAATACTTTAATATTTACCTTTTATCATGACTCAAAAATTCATTTCTCAATCTGAACCCAGCTCTCCAGCCCTTTGACTCTCACTCCAACCAGACTGCCCCTTCCTCGTTGGCACCCAGCCCCTCCAGCGACGCCATCCGTTTCCCTGATCAAAACCCAGTTCTCCTCCAAATTCCTCCTTTTCCCCAATCAAACGACCATAACTGTTTGAAGAAGGTAATTTTATTAGTTTTTTTGTTGTTAATTTTCTCTGATTTTCCATATATGTTTGTGAGTAATTTTTGGTCCGCACAGGGCTGATTTTGGCATGAGTTGGGGTGTAATTTCAACTTAGGATTGTGGTTTAGGGTTTCTAAGAAATGGATTTAAGCTTGTGGTTGTTGATTCCTTTTTTCAAGAAATTAACAATTCAAGCTTGCTATGGTTGCTGACAGAAACAAATGCTAAGCTTGATAAATTTCATTTTCCTCATAATATCAAGATGGTATTCGTCCATGCCATTTCATATTATCTTAGTAGTTTAGCTACATTTTCCTAGGGCACCCTGAAATGTGGAAAGCCAGTTGTTGTGAAGACACTTTCTGCTCGGTCGAAGCAGGGAGTCCCTGAATTCTTAAATGAGATTATTGCTATATCAAATGTCAGGCATCCAAACCTTGTTGAGTTGATTGGGTGTTGTGTTCAAGGAGCTAATTCTGGTCTTATATTGTGTATCAGACAGACCATGTAATTATTTAGTCCTCATTGAATGAAATTGAGCACAATTATTTAGTTCCCCATTGTTGAGGAAAAATTACTATAAAATCTTTATTTTTTGGTGTAGGGGTGTAAGATGCGATTCCAGAGCGTCTTGTTCGTTTTTAAAAAGATCACGTTATATACATTCTGTATTTCTTGTATTTGCCCTGGTATTGCATGTATATTTCGTCTATATAGCCCACGTATTGCTTGTTTATTGCCATTTTAAGAGAATTTGCAGATATTGAAAACAAGAGAGAAAAGGAAGCCAACCAATATATTGCGCTTATATTGCCTATGTATTGCCCTTGTATCACTTTGTTTTTCAAGTCTTTCCGAAAGAAATTATATAGTGGGAGTATTTAATTTTTGTATTGCCCTCTTATTACCTACGTATTACCCTCTTATTGCCTGCGTATTACCCTTATGTTTTATTCATTTTTTGGTTTTAATGTAAAAATACGATTTTACCCCTACATTTAACAAATAAAGTTAATAAAATTGACGGCATGACCATTTGTCCTAACGAAAGTGAAGTTAAAGGACCACCAGAACCATTTTGAAAATTGAGATATTCAAACACAAATCAGGTCTAAGTTCAGGAATTAATAAAATGATTAACCCTACTTTTGAATAGGCACACCCCATGCTCTTCAAAATCTCATACCAAAAGTAAGTAATGTGAAAACTTTATACAAGGCGGTTGACGTAAGTGTAAGCCGTGTAGATAGGTCATCCATCCAAATACGTATTTATTTATCTACATTTTTCAATGTAATCAATCATAGAAAAACTATCTAAATTAAAAAGTTGAATATTTTGGGCTCGAATCTAGAAGCCCCTTCAAAAGGGGTATTTTCTCCTTTGTCAACCCAATTGAATCATAATAGTAAATGGGGTCTAGGGTCTAGTGAAAAAGGACATTCATTTGCAAACCAGCGATCTCATGTTCGAACCTTGATGGCACCTTGATAGTGCGTGCATGTAAAAAACCCCCTTCTCCTTTCGCTTCTATTTTTTTTAAGTAATGAATCATATATGTCATTCGTTCAAACAAGAATTTAGTCTGAATACCATGTTTAACTTCTCCATCCAAACATGTCCCAAATCTAACTTCCTTCTAATTTCAGGGGGTGAGGATGGTATTTGGCTTGAACAACACCTCGTTGGTAAATTCAGTTGGCCACATGTGGGGAAAGAAACCATGAAACACCGGTGATATGTCTACGAACAATTGGTATATTGTATATATATTCCTCACTCTGCTATATTTCATCTTTGCTAAATGAAAATTTGAGATACTAAAAGTTTCATACAAATTTTTAACAATTTAAGTTAATCGCGTTGTTAACGCTTGGAGAAGGGTGGCATAATAACCACCACGCTTTTGAATACCCAGCTCGACAAGGGCTGGAATGGTGGCAATTTGATCTTCCTTGGTACATAATCAGATCTCTTGAAGCTATTGGATTGGCAACATATGCGAAAGTCCCAACTGAAATTCAAAAACAACGAAAAGCTTCAAATCCAAGAATCATGGCAACTCAAAATTTGGGTTTGAAGATTTACTCTGCTATATGTATGTATACGATGGATAACTAGTTTCAAGTCCTATATGCATTTGTAATGGGGTCAAATTCATGCATATGGTGTTGACCTTGGGGTTATTCTCGTATTTCTGAGGCTTCTTAAATAATCACTTGTAATCATATTGTGGAATAATCAGCTATGAAAAGTGTTTAATTTTAGCATTGAAGTAATTATGTGTACTATGGATAAAATTGACACGATGTTGAAGGTGTTATTAGTTACTTGTTTAGTAAAATAAATCTTACTTGC